TACATCTGATTACTGCGCACACATATGCACATAGAGGGAGAGGGGGGATAGGCATAGAGGCAGTCAACGACAAAAGGGGCGAGGTCGGAGAGAGAAGGGGTGCGCGGACGCCCCCCCTCTGTTTATCACCCCCCCTGGTGAGACCCTGCGGTAAAGCAGCGAAGCCGCCGGCGAGGCGCAGCCCGAGCTGAACGGCCTGCTCGTCGACCTCGTCGGCTTCGAGGAGGCACAGGGGCGCTGGCGCGTGAGGCTCGACGACGGCCAGGACAAAATGCTGCGGGCCTAGAGTACAGAAGGCTGCAGAAATACTGCAAGTGACGCCGTCGTTGCTGGCGATCAAGGATCGAGGCTGTCGGGCGTGTCTGGGCGGGTAAGTGGCGCTCCGGTGGCGTTTTGGGGTGTGCTGTGTGGAGCTCCTGGGGGATATGGTGTGCAGGAGGAGGTGCATTACTTTTGCATGTGCAGGTACGTTCGGGGGCGGCAAAGACGTGGGGTGACGACTAGGGCGGGTGGATAACATGGCGGGGGCCATGACATCTCACCAGATTTCGTGGCGCCTCTTCTTGGTCCCCGGCCCCCCCCCTGGGCCGCGCACATGCCGCCGGCCATGATTTGCGCCCCCCCCTCTTGGACGCTCCCCTCTTGGACGCTCCCGCTGTCGGGCCGGAGGAGGAGGAGGAGGAGGAGGAGGAGGAGGAGGAGGAGGCATTGGAGGGAGGAGAGAGGGGGGAGGAGGGAGGGAGGAGGAGAGAGGAGAGGAGGAGGAGGAGGGGGAGGCATTGGGCAGGGCACTCTGGAACGCCCCGCCCGCCCGTGCAGCGCCGCCGTCGCCTCCGGGGCGCGCCTGGGGAGCCAGCGCGACGGGGGCCTCGAGAGGCCCCGCAGCAGCCTCGCAGGAGGGCCCGGAGGGCTTGGGGGGGGGGCGTCTCCTCCTGCCCCCTCCCCTCCTGGCTCGGGGGAGGGGATGCGGGCAGGAATGCCTGAGTTGTGCCATGGGGGTAGGCCCCCTTGAAGGGCAGCGGGCTTCTCTTTCTCGCGTGCGTAGCTTCCTTGTCGCCTCCTCAGCGTCTTGTCCTTGCATTGTCCGCCGTTCCCCCGCTGGCCAGTGTCGATCCTCGTCCTCCTCCTCATCCTCCTCCTCCTCATCCTCCTCGTTCTCTTGCTCCTCCTCCTCCTCCTCCTCCTCCTCCTCCTCCTCCTCCTCATCCTCATGCTCCTCCTCGTCCTCTTGCTCCTCCTCCTCCTTCTCCTCCTCAACCTCCTCCTCCTCCTCGTTCTTCTCCTGTTTCTCATCTTTTCCATTCTCATCTTTTCCTCCTCGCAATCCTCTTTTCATCCTCACTCTAGGAAGCCAGGGAGACCAGGGACCTCCAGGAGCCTTCGGGGCTCCATGGTGGCGGTCAGAGGCGTCCAAAGTGCAGTCGCAGCCTTCCAGGGCACCCCGGGCGACCTCCGAGGGCTGCCAGGGGCCTCGGCGGGCCTCCGTGACTCTATGGGGTTTTCACTTGGAATCTATTCGGTGGAATCCATTCGATGGCTTTGGAGGCTGCGTGACAGGAGGAGGCCAGAGAGAGCGGAGGGGATGGCGGGAGTAGAAGGGCCGGGGGATGGGGAGGGGAGGGAAGAGGAGGATATGGGAGCGACGGCGGGGAAGGGGGAAGGGGGACGGGAGGCTTCATCCCAGAAGCGACCCCAAGCACAAGCAGAGGCGCGAGGCGCAGTTCTCTTGGCCCTGGGAGGCCTGGGAGGCAACTCGTTCGTCTCCACCGAAGGATGGTGAGGAGCATCAGGAAGACGAGGCTGTGGTTTGCTTTCGTTGATTAGACTGGCGACCTTCAAGTCTCGCAAGGACAACGGCCTTCTGACATTCGGTTGGATAGCGACGGAGCCTATGATACCGTCTCAAATTGGCTCTCGATTCATGCCCACGGCCTTGGACAGCCCGCTTCGGGTTTCTAGCAGCGGCGGAGTTACAAGTTGTGCAAGCTTGCAGGGGTTAAGATACTGGGCAGTCTGCACAATTAGAGATCAGCCACATAGACAGGCAATCCACTTCGAGTGTTTGCCTCGCTTGTTGGGTCTTGGGGCCAGGCTCAACCCGGACGCGCCCAGCCGAGAATGGTTGAAACGCATGGCCGTCGAGATGACACGCCCAGCCGAGCCCAGATACAGGATCCCTGAGAGTCCTGCCACCAAAAAAACTCGTTGCCTCCTATATATGAAGCACGGCCAGTCCATGGTCGAGGAATTCGACTGCTTCGGTTTCTCCCCTACCTCCTACTTGCCGTACGGCAGGTTTGCGTCGTGTCGACCAGCGGCGACCCCAGCGCGGGCGTTCAAGGTTGAACGCCGAGGCGACCCAGAATCGATCGATGTTGAACGATCGGACGTTGCGGCAGCGGCCGATCGTTCAAGGTTGAACGATCCCTGCGGTGTCAAGAACCAACGCTGGGGTCGGCACGACACGAACCTGCCGTATATGCTTTCACCATGGCGCCTGGAAAGCGCTCCCGACCTACATCGGCAAGTACAGCTCATCCTTCCGCAAGCTTGCTGTCGTCCTACGGCAGCCAGCGATCGGCACTCGTTCAAGAAGGCCGCGCGTGCGGCGGACGCGTCCTCTGCATCGCGTCCGCATCAGCTGACCGATCTGATTCTGCCCTTTCTGCTCGCCCACTTGGCCTGCGCTGGGCACCGGCGGGCCCGGCCGCGCCGCGCTGCGCCGCGCCGTCCGCCGCCTCCGCGGCATCCTGGTGGCGGCTCAAAGGTCAAGCAGTGGCGATGCGCCCTGGCTTGCCTCACTAGTTGCCCACCGAAGACTGTTCTGAGAACCCTTTGCGGTTTGCAGGACATGCTCTTAGAACACGACTGGCTGAAACCGTTCTGTTCTAGCACGCCGTCTTCATTTTCTAAGAGCATTGGCTGTGTGATTGGAGCAAGAGGCTATTCTAAGAGCATGTCAGCATGTCGTGCTAGGCCTGTCGGAGTGCCGAGACGGGGTCGGTCCCTGCTCAGAAAGACGGGGCTTGAGGGATGGGACCTTACGGTCAGGAACTCTTGGATATGTGCTGTGCCGCTCCGCCAGTTCTGGCCCACCACGCCTCGGCGCGACTCGCTGTCCACTTCCCGGCCCCCTGGCGCCGACGTCACGAGCTTTTTTCCGACCCTCCCGCCCCGCGGAGGGGAGAGCGACACGCTGTCCGAATTGCAAAGGGAAGCGTGCCGCTGGGGCCGCCGCGGCGACACGCGATCAAAAGGTTCCCGACAGCAAGGAAAAGAAGGGTCCAAGGCTGGATCTGCACTGTCTGCGGCACCTGGTCCAACGACCCTAAGGTTAAGTCGGGCCTGTCCCTCTACAGGGGGAATATTCAAAAATAGTCAAAAATAGTCTGGGGACAATTTTTGACAATTTTTCCCCAATCAGAGCTTGCCTCTGTAGGGGTCCAAGCGGATTCATATGGTTAGATTAGGTTTGCCGCCGATTTTCGCGCACGCCCGGGTGCCCGGGTGCCCTGGCGTGCCCGGGGGTGCCTGGGTGCCCGCCCGGGAGCCCTATAGCCTCATAACCCTAGAGCCTATATAGCCTTATAGCCCTATAGCCCTCTAGACCTCTAGCCCTAAACCCTTTTCGCCCCAATAGGTTTATAACCCTATAGCCCTAATAGCTCCATAGCTTGATACCCTGATAACCCTATAGCCTTATAGCCCTATAGCCCTCTAGCTCTCTAGCCCTCTAGCCCTGTAGCCCTATAGCCTTATAGCCCATATAGCTCTACAGCCCTTTAGCCCCATAGCCCTATATCATTCAAAATATTATGATTGGGTTGTTCTCTGGTATCATTGAGTAGTTAAGGGTATTGTTTTAGTATTTTCTTATTGTTTCGTCGAATCAGCAGGCGGATCAGCAGGAGGGCGGTGGGTAGAACTCACGAGGAGCAGGGTCGGGAGAACGGGCTTAGAACGCCGACGCCTTTGTTAAAGGAGCACGCGACATAGTCAAACGAGCATACGAACATTCTCCGTAGAAGACCGCGGCACCTGGGTCAGCACCGCCCCTTCCACCTCCGCCTCCTCCTCCTCCTCCTCTTCCTCCTCCTCCTTCTCCTCCTCCCACTCCTCCTCCTCCTCCTCCTCCTCCTCCTCCTCCTCCTCCTCCTCCTCCTCCTCCTCCTCCTCCTCCTCCTCCTCCTCCTCCTCCTCCTCCTCCTCCTCCTCCTCCTCCTCCTCCTCCCTCTTGTCGTCCTCCTCTACCTCCTGCTTGCTGGTGCCCCGCTCCTACACCTTTCTTTCCGCCCCAGAGGCCCCAGGCTTCCCTGCTTTGGCCCTCTGGCCTGCCTCTTCTCCTCCCCTCCGGTCCGGGGGTGCCCAGTGAGGCTCACTGAGAGGGCTCGCAGCATGCATTGCGTAGTCTGGGCGCGCCGCGCGACCTTCCTCCGTGTGGGTCCTGTGGACGGCGCCCCAGCAAGCAGAAGCAGGGGCAATTCCGTGCGCCTTGCTCATGGGGCCCCCGCGCGCTCCCGCCGGTTTTCCGAGTAGCAAAACGGAGGCCCTCGCGCCGCCCACCCCGCCCCACCCCCCAGGCCATGCTGGCGCTTCGCGGCGGCGAGGCAGAGGCGGCGTGGCCGAGAGCCCATCTGCCCCCCCCCCCCCTGTTGTTGGGGTGGGTCTGTGTGGGTGGCGAGTCACGCCGCCGTCTCTCGGTGACGCTCGGCACGTGTGTGTGCAGGAATTGAGTGCTCTTCGCTGGTCTCTCTGAGCGGATGGGTCAGAGATCAGAATGAGAAGGGGAGGGATCCCTCAGCCCTCCCTCGCCCTGCGCAGGCTGGCCCCTGTGGCTCAAGCCTCTCGGAGGCTCGGGGGCACACGGCCCCGCGGGCGAGGCCGAGGCGGCGTGGCTGGAAGCCCATCTGGCCCCGCCCCTCCCCAGCCCGACCTCCTCCTCCTCCTCCTCCTCCTCCTCCTCCTCCTCCTCCTCCTCCTCCTGCGTGGGCCGGGCCCTGTGGCTCAAGCCTCTCGGAGGCTCCGGGGCCCACGGCCCGCGGCCGAGGCACGGGGCGGCGCCCAGGCATCGGGCGCCTCGAGAACATCGAGGCGGAGGGTTTTTTTCGGGACGAGCAGCAGGTCCTGGGGAAGTCAAGGGCGCCCTCGAGGGCGCGAAGTTGTTCGCGCTTCGCGCTTCGCGGTTCGGCTCCGATTCCTCATCCTCCTCTTCTCCCCTGGGAGGCGGCGCGAGAGCGCGAAGCTATTCGCACTTCGCGCTTCGCGCAGCGCGAAGCGCGAAGTTGGGAGCCCTTGGTCCCGGGGGAGTGGTCGGGAGGTCGGGGGCCCGTGCCTCGAGAAGATCGTGACGTCGGACGTCTGGGCGTGGCTGGAGCCCGTGCTGCGAGCACGCGATGGCAGCCCAGGCTCTGCTGCAGGGCCTGGCGCGGCCGGACCCGGCGGCCTTCCGGGCGCCGAGGTCGCGGGACCCCACGCGGCACCTCTACATCGCGAAGTGCGGCCGAGGGTGCGGAGACACGCCCGAGAGCGTGCTCGCGACGCTGTGCGAGCTGGTGCCGCAAGGGGAGGTCGAGGGCCTGTACGTCGGGCCTCAGGGCATCTCCTACGCCACCTTCGCGACGCCCGCGTCCGCCAGCCTCGCGCGCGACGGCGTCGCGACGGCGACACGGTGGGTGGTGAAGTTCGCGGACTACGCGGAGGTGGCGCCCAGGCCAGTGCTGCCAACGAGCGTGGCCTCCACGGCAGACGTCGAGGTCCCAGGGCTCGAGCTGGTGGAGGGCTTTGTGTCCGAGGCGGAGGCGCAGAGGCTCCTGCAGGCGGTCTACGCGCGCCCCTGGAGCGACGCAATCCGTCGCCGCGTGCAGCACTACGGCCACGCCTTCGACTACTCGCGGCTGGCAATCGCCGACAGCTGCGAGGCCAAGCTTCCCGACTTCGCGCGGGACTTGGTCTCGCGGCTCGACTTCGATGTGAACCAGCTTACAGTCAACGAGTACGAGCCCGGCGTGGGCATCGCCGCCCACTGCGACGCCCACTCCGCCTTCGGCGCGGAGGTGGCAGCCCTGTCCCTGGGCTCCGGCATCGTCATGGAGTTCCGGCGCCCCGGCCCGGACGGCGAGGGCAAGGTCTCTGTGGGCCGGCACCACCGCCTGGCGCCGCCCGCCAAGCCAGAGGTGCTCAAGAGCGTGTGGCTGCCGCCCAACTCCCTGCTCGTCATGCGCGGGGAGGCCCGCTATGGCTGGCAGCACGGCATCGCGTGGCGTAAGACGGACTGCCTCACCGAGGGCGTGGCGGTTCCCCGCGGCCGGCGCGTGTCGTTCACCCTCCGGGCCGCCCGCGGGCATCCCTGCAGCTGCCAGTGGCCGCTGCTGTGCAACTCGCAGAACCCCGAGGCCCACGTGCTCCCCTCGCGGCTGAACGCCCCAGCGCACCCGCCCGTCGAGGCAGATCCGGGCCGCGGGGAGATTTGAGCGCGCGGCCGAAGAAGCAAGAGGTCTGCATTTGCCCTGGGTCGGCGAGCGCGCCCCACTACTCGCAAAGTGCCTACTCGTACACGTCAGAGCAAACAAAACATGTGTTTGCTCCGTCGGGGATGATCGTGAGTTCCCCTTCTGCCGATCCAGGCCATGTGCGAGCGGTTACTTTGCGAGCAGTGGGGCGCGCGTGTCTATCGAGGAGGGTCGACGATCGAGCTTCTCGGACCTTCCTGCCTCTGGGGCCTCCTGCTCTCCCCCCGCCCCCTCCTCGCCAGCTCCTCCCACTGGCAAGCTCGCATGCCTCCGCCTCCCCACGGCCATGGGAAAGAACATGCCCGTGTAGCCAGATGGGTGTTAATATTATATGGCCGAGGCCAGGATGTGTTAATGCGCCCTGGGGGGAGATTCTACGGGCGGGCTAGGTTTAAGTCGGACCTGTCCCCCCACAGGGGGATTTTCGAGGAAATATAAAAAATACCCCCAAAAAATCAAAAAATAGTCCAAAAATAGTCTGAGGACTATTGTTTTAGTATTTTTGTTTACCCTTTTGGGGCATTTTTGGGGTATTTTTTATTGTTCGTCGAAAATCCCCCTGTAGGGGGACAGGCCCGACTTAAGGCTAGCTGTTGGTATGGCGAGGGTGCTCGTCGAATGGGTGTTTGCATGGCCACCGGTCCTTTGGAGGTGTCCTGAGGGCGTCTTGGGAGGTGTCTTGGGCTGTCTCGGAGAGGTTTTTGAGGCGTTCCGGGCGGCCTCTGAGATACCCTGCAAGCGTCTTGTGCTGTTTCATTGGAAAAGGGCAGGGGTGCTCGCAGAACCCCCCCCTCTTCAAGGCGGGGGGGGGTGTTTTCGGACCCCCCCTTTCAAAGGGGGGCGATTGCGGACCTCCCCTTTGAAGGGGGGGGGGACGAAACGAAAATGGGACAAATTACAGTCTACTAAAGCCAATGCCAACCACCGTTTGCTTTAATTCCAACCACATTGATTCCAGCAATGCCATGTCCACGCAGCTTGAATTTCGGACCAGGGAGTTCCGACGTTGGTCGAGCACGCTTCATCGAGGAAGTGTTGGGCGGACTCGCCATTTCGAATTCGAGTCGACGAGTTTCGACATCTAGACGCAATCGTTTTTTCGAGGATTTCCCGGGCGAAACTACACTTTCGACTTTTTCCCCAAACAGCTTGCTGAACGGGGTGCTGTTGTGATAGAAGCTAACTCCGGCCGAGGGAAAGGGGAGCAGAGACATCCTCACAAAAATCTGATGGTCCAGGCCGTTTCGCTTGAGACATCCTCGAAAAGTTGCGCTCCGGGACGCCGCGCGAGAGGTGTTCCGGGCCGTTTCGCTTGAGACATCCTCGAAACTCTGAGCCCCGAGGTGCCGTGCGAGAGGTGGTCCGGGCCGTTTCGCCTGAGACTTCCTCGAAACTCTGAGCTCTGAGATGCCTTGCGCGAGGTGGTCCGGCCCGTTTCGCTTGAGACATCCTCGAAACTCTGAGCCCCGAGGTGGCGTGCGAGAGGTGGTCCGGGCCGTTTCGCCTGAGACATCCTCAAACTCTGAGATCTGAGATGCCTTGCGCGAGGTGGTCCGGCCCGTTTCGCCTGAGAGATCCTCGAAACTCTGACCTCGGAGATGCCGCGCGAGAAGTGGTCCGGCCCGTTTCGCCTGAGACATCTTCAAACTTCTGAGCTCTGAGATGCCCTGCGCGAGATGGTCCGGCCCGTCTCGCCTGAGACATCCTCGCAATTCTGAGCTCTGAGATGCCGTGCGCAAGGTGGTCCGACCTGCTTCGCACAATACATTCTTGCAACTCTCAGCTCCCAGATGCCGCGAAAGAGGTGGTCCAGCCTGGGGGCCCAGAAGACCACATGTTACATACCCTCCCTGGGACCCTGGGAGCCCCAGGAGGCCCCAGAGAGCTCCAGGAGGCCGTAGGACGCCCAGGACAGGCCCCAGGGGTCCCCAGGAGATTCCCAGGAGGCTCCCAGGAGGCCCCAGGAGGCTCCCTATCACATCCGGTGCCGATTCGTTGATTTTTCCTGCTCTTGTGCCCCCCCCTGCCCCACCCCCCCTCCATTTTGAGGGGCCCAAACGGCCACAGGTTAGATATTTAGATATCCCCCCGGGAGCCAAGAGGCTTCAGGAAGCCCCAGGTGGAGTTCAGGAGGCCACAGGAGGCCCAGGAGGAAGCCCCAGGAGGTCCCCAGGAGGCCCCAGGAGGCACCAGGAGGCCCCCGCAACTCGGAGCTCTGAGACGCCGCGCTCGAGGTGGTCCGGCCCATGTCGCCTGAGACTTCCTCGCAGCACGTTTCGCCCGAGACATCGTCGCAACTCTGGGGTCCGAGATGCCGCGCGCGAGGTGGTCCAGCCTGTTACGCTGGAGACATCCTCGCAACTCTAGGCTCCAAGATGCCGTTCGGGATGAAGAGGAGGAGGAGGAGGAGGAGGAGGAGGAGGAGGAGGAGGAGGAGAAGGAGAAGGATAAGGAGATGGAAGGGAGAAGGAGGAGGCGGATGATGTGGATGAGGGAGCAGGCAGGAGGAGGGGGCGGAGGAGGAGGAGGAGGAGGAGGAGGAGGAGGAGGAGGAGGAGGAGGAGCATTGCATTGCATTGCATTGCACACGGCTGTTGGACAAATGAATCAATGGGGACTCCACTCTCTGAACACGGAGCTACTACTGACTTCAGCGGCAGGCAGTCATGCCAGAGCGGGGGAACGAAGACACCGAGCAGGGGCCGACCGAAGGGACGAGCGGGACAAGGCGACCGAGGGGCCAGGCCGAGCGACGAAAGGCGAGGGAGAGGCGAAGACGGGAGCGGGCCCTAACCAGTAAACAAAATCTTGGCGTGTCCGCCGTCCACACCCTGGGTGATTCTTAATGCCAGGTGCGCACGGCTGCGCTGCCCAAGCTCTACCGCTAGGGCACAGTGCGTGCACACATCAGAGACTGAACAAACACACAACGCGGCGGCAGCAGCGGAGCGGTGTCTCCCTCAGGTAGCTCAGGTCGAGTCGTCCCCCTCGGAGATCGAGATAACCTCCTCCTCCTCGCCCCTGAGCTGTACACCGTCAAAGCTATCCGCGTTCACGATTTGAGTACATCTATCCACGCTGAAATCTCTTCCTCTAGGTAGCCGCTCGGGGCCAACCCCTGGGTAACCGTCGCCCCCATAGCCTTGAAGCTGTCCAGGACGACTCGTTTTTTGGCTGGATCGTCCAAGGCGATCACTATCTTGATCATGTCGTCGTCCTTGCAACTCTCGAGGCCGCACAATCTAACGTACAGCGTGATCATTTCTAATTCGTGTGCTGCACGTGGCCTCCGCAGCCCCTTCGGCGCGCTTCATTTCTAATTCGTGGCCGGAATTGCAAATGACCGGAATTAGAAATGAACGCGCTTGTTAGGCCCCGGAGGCCCCAGGGCAAATGCATTCGAGCGCGCGCCCGAGTCTGGATCTGGGGCGCGCCACCCTCGTTCGGGCACGCGTAGACGTGACGCGCAAATCCTGCGCGTCGCGTACACGTGACACGCAAAATCTGCGTGTCACACGGAGCGCGCCTGGGCGGGACACGCAGAATCAGGGGGGCGGACACGCTAAATCTGCGTGTCGCACGCCGGGGGTCCGGGGGCCAGGGTGGGGACACGCAGAATTTGCGTGTCACGCGGGCCCCACCAGGGGGGCGGACACGCAGAATCTGCGTGTCGCACGCCCGGGGTCCGGGGGCCGGGGTGGGGGCAGAATCTGCGTGTCACGCAGGCCCAAAATCTGCGTGTCGCACGCCGGGAGTCCGGGGGCCGGTGTGAGGACGCGCAGAATCTGCGTGTCACGCGGGCCCCACCAGGAGGGCGGACACGCAGAATCTGCGTGTCGCACGCCGGGGGGCCGAGGGCCGGGGTGGGGACACGCAGAATCTGCGTGTCACGCGGGCCCAAAATCTGCGTGTCGCACGCCGGGGGTCCGGGGGCCGGGGTGGGGACACGCAGAATCTGCGTGTCACGCGGGCCCCGACAGGGGGGCGGACACGCAGAATCTGCGTGTCGCACGCCAAGGGTCCGGGGGGCGGGGTGGGGACACGCAGAATTTGCGTGTCACGCGGGCCCAAAATCTGCGTGTCGCACGCCGGGGGCCCGGGGGCCTGGCGGACACGCAGAATCTGCGTGTCGCACGCCAACGGGATGGGGACACGCAGAATCTGCGTGTCACGCGGGCCCAAAATCTGCATGTCGCACGCCCAGGGTCCTGGGGGCTGGGGTGGGGACACGCAGAATCTGCGTGTCACGCGGGCCCAAAATCTGTGTGTCGCACGCCGGGGGTCCAGGGGGCCGGGGTGGGGACACGCAGAATCTGCGTGTCACGCGGGCCACGCCAGGGGGGCGGACACGCAGGATTTGCGTGTCACGTCTACGCGACACGCCAATCCTGCGTGTCACGTCACACGGAACGCGCTCGGGGCGGCGTCGCGTAAGTAATTAAACGTGACACGCAAGTCCTGCGTGTCACCCGGAACGCGCTCTGGGCGGCTGGGCGACGCGACACGCAGAATTTGCGTGTCGCGTAGATGTGACACGCAAATCCTGCGTGTCACATGGAACGGCGACGACGTTGCTGTTGCCGTTATTCTTGTGATCTTTTACGAGCGTAAGCAGAAGCTGCGCCCTGACGCCTTGGAGACACGTTGGGCGTAGCGCTTGAGCACATGCCTTCCCGTCGGCACCTCTCATTTGCAATTCGTGGCCGGAATTGGAAATGACCGGAATTACAAATGACCGGAATTACAAATGAGTGCTCTGTAGTCTGGTGGCGTGTCTGTGAACGTCATCTTCAGGGCCTCTAGCGACTTGCGATTCACTGCTCCGACTTCTTTCGTGCTGAGGTTCTCCACCATCGCCGCGAACACCGCGGGCGTAGGAGGGCCCAGTGTCCGAAGCTGGTGTGACATCGCCTCGGCCTCCTTGTCGGCCTTCTTCTCGCGATCCTTGTCCTGGCCCTTGGCCTCCTTGGTCTCCTTCTTCAGCTCC